GAAGGTTCGTGGCCACCCTGCAATGAGCAGATCTATCGATGCCACTTCTCCAACAGCATTTGCTCCCTGTGCCTCTGGGTCGCAGTGAGGTAATTCTTGCAGCATTTCAAACTATCTCATTATCGTTATATTTGTTATGGGGATTTATGATCAGTGATTACAGTTTGCTAATAGCTCAGATGTGGTAACATTTTTTAATAATAAAGCATTTCTAAATTAAGGTATGTACATTGTTTTTAGACATAACACTATTGCACACTTAATAAACCACAGCATGGTGTATACATAATTTTGTATGCGCTGGGAAACCAAAAAATTCATTTGACTCTCTTTATTGCAGCGCTCGCTTTATTGCAGTGGTCTGGAGCCAAGCCGCAATATCCCTGAGATATGCTTGTACTTGCCTAGCCCTCAACTATACTTGAATTAGCTTCAATTTCCTCATCTATAAAATGGGGATGATGGCGTCTGGCTCATAGGGTATTGAATGGATTAAATGTTCAATGCTCAATAAATAGCAGCTGTTACTATTTTTATAGAACTGGTCCCTTTGCTTAGTTGTCCTCTGTCTCTCATCCAGAGGACTGGGGTCCCTTCTGGTCTAACCTGGAAAGTTTTCTTTCTCTGATAGAGCCAGGAAGACATCTTTCAGAATGTGTGAGGACAATTGGCAATGAAGAGAAAAACCTGGCAGAAAGCACATGGCAAAGAGGGGAGAGGGGCCTTCAGTCTGACTCGACAGTGTGCCTGCCTGGATTTTCAAAGAAAGGAAGTGGCAGCAGTGAAGAGGGGTGTCAGGGTCCATGACTCCACTGGTCTCCTTCACACTCAGAACCACTCTGCTACACAACTCTGGGGCCCATTAGAACTACACTGGTGTGGTGTGACAGCCCCTTCATGGCAACCCGTTCCTCTGACGAACAGGTGGAAGGAGAATGAGAATTTGGACTTTCAGATGCTACTTCCCCCTTACCTGAGTCCTGAGTTTTCAATTCATTAAAATGGCAATAGGTATGCAAACAAGCTCTTGTAGGTACATGTTCATAGCATTACCGTTCACCATAGCCAAAGGTGAAAATAACCCAAATAACCTTCCACAGATGAATGGATAAACAAATTGGGACATATACATTGATTGGAGTCTGATTCAGCCATGAACAGGAGTGAAGCACTGGCACATGCCACAACTTGGATGCAACTCAAAAACATTATGCTAAACGAAAGAAGCTGGCAGGTGCCTGGGTGGCTCAGTCCGTTGAGACTCTGACTTTGGCTCAGGTCATGATCTCATGGTTCCTGGGTTCGAGCCCTGCATCAGGCTTTCTGCTGTCAGGACAGAGCCCATTTCAGATCCTCTGCCTCCCTTTCTCTCTGTCCCTCTGCTGCTTGTTTTCGTGCGTGCTCTCTCTCTCTCTCTCTCTCTCTCTCTCTCTCTCTCTCTCTCTCAAAAATAAATAAACATTAAAAAAGAAAGAAAGAAGGGACAACTGGGTGGCTCAGTTGGTTAAGCATCTGATTTCAGCTCAGGTCATTATCTCGCAGCAGTTCATGGGTTCAAGCCCCACACAGCGCTATGCGCTCAAGGTGCTGATGGCGCAGAGCCTGCTTCGATCCTCTGTCCCCTTCCCTCTCTGCTCCCCCCATACTCTCTCTCTCTCAAAAATAAACGTTAAAAAAATAATAAAAATAGAAAGAAGCCAGACACCAATGGTCACATACTGTACGATTCCATGTATGTGAAACATCTAAAATAGGTATTTCCATAAAGATAAAAAGCAGATTGGTGGTTGCCAGGCATGGGAAAGGGGAAAATGAGGAGTAACTGCTTGCTGGGTACAGGGTTTCCTTTTGGGATGATGAAAATATATTGAACTTTTTTAGATAGTTGCACAACATAATGTACTAAATGGCACTAATTATTCACTTTAAAATGGTTACTTTTGGGGACACCTGGGTGGTTCAGTCTGCTAAGCGTCTGACTTCAGCTCAGGTCATGATCTCACAGTTCATGAGTTCGAGCCCTGTTGCACCTGCTTCGGATCCTCTGCCCTTCCTTCCCGCCCCTCCTCCTCTCTCTCTCTCTCTCTCTCACATACACACAATTAAAAAGAATTAAAATGGTTAGTTTTTTGTTGTGTGAATTTCACCTCTATTATTTTTTTTTAAATGACACATAACCTTCCCACATGAAAGAATCCTGAACGATTCTGAAAGAGCCTGAAGACCATCAGGTCTATCTTCTCCCCAAGTCTGGGTCTAGGATCTTTGCTTACTGCTGTAGCAGGGAAGAGAAAGATGCTGTAGATTTGGAGCCAGCGCAACAACTCATCCTTCAGGGGGTGTACTTAGAAAAGAGCGAATCAAAAAGACAGGTCCAGTCCTCTCCACAAGATGTATTTGATTTCCAAGGCAATTTGTTCTAGGTTTTGGTATCTTTCTTGCATTCAATTAATGCTTCCATTCCAGAAATATTAGCGTCTTTTAATACCTCCCCCGCACCAACTGTAAGATCTTACAGCAGCTTTCTGGATTTGGGGCGAATCTCATATTCCTTCAGAACATGATTGGCCAGAAACTTGGGCATCCCCGCCTAACATACGGAGAGAAAACCGCTCCTCTCACTGCCGTATTGGTTCTCTGAACAGTCTTCCCAAAAGATACTGCTAGTAGCAATTATGCAAATGTGTGGACAAGGTAGGGTTACATTTGGAGGTACATCAGATGAACAAATGCCAGAATGGATGGATGGGTGACTATGGATGACTCCCCTGTGCCTCTCAGTTGGAATCTTCCCTCTCATTTATCAATCACTGTAGTCACTCCAGGGTTGGGTTGGCAGTTTATCAGTGTTGGGAATCTAGACTCTTTCTAGATTATATCTGCTAACATTAGGATGTTGTCCTTGTCTTCAATGTCCAAAATGGCTCAGCACATCCACGCTCCGGCCCTATAGGAGAAGGGAAGCAGGAGCAGTGGAGGACAAACCCGTTTCCTTTCAGGAACATGGCCTGGGAATTGCACACGTCACTGCTGCTGATATCCCATTACCCAGAATCAAGTTGTTCTGTCACACCTAGCTGCAAGGAAGGCTGGTCTTATGCCCTGGTTAGTCTCCTATCATTATAGAAGAAGGGGAGAATGGATCCTGAGGGGGACAACTAGGACTCAGCCCCACCGTCCAACTAACGGTCCTTCTTTCACTCGTATCTCCAGTCCCTTTGCTGTCATTTAAAACAGTGGGCTTGTGGGGCGCCTGGGTGGCTCAGTCGGTTAAGCGTTCAACTTCGGCTCAGGTCATGATCTCGTGCTTCACGGAGCCCCACGTCCGGCTCTGTGCTGACAGCCCAGAATTTAGAGCCTGCTTTAGATTCTACATCTCCTTCTCTCTCTACCCCTCCCCTGTTCATTCTCTGTTTCTTTCTCTCTCTCTCAAAAAATGAATAAACATTTTAAAAATTAAAATAAAAAAATAAATCAGTGAGTTTGTGCCCCACCTCTGAGCCTTTATTCATGGTCTGCCCTAACATGGAAGCATCTGTTCACTTCTCCACACCCATATTACCTTCACTGCCCCCTCAGCCTCGTCTCCTCCCTTCCTGACAATCTTCCCTGACAACCGCAGCCCTCAATGACTTTCCAAGGCATCCCTTGACCTTTATGTTTTCAGTGTATATGATGTTCTATAGAGCTGAGGCTTAATTTCAGAACCAGACAGCACATTTCTTGCGAACATATATTTTTCTTGTATCTTCCTTGGTCTCTAGCTCAGTCCTGAGCACACATATGTATTTAACAATTATGCTCTGAAATGAATGGAGTTTGATTAGAATGACATGCTCAACAATTTAGGACAATATTTTTATTCTCCTTTAATTACAGTATTTTTCACCTAAGTGGTCTGTATATAATTATATACATAATTTTAAATAAATAAATACACATTTATTTACTTATGTAAGTATATATAGAGTATAATCTCTATAATATAAAAATTTATACACACACAAATACACACATATGCAACTCAAGAAACAAGGTTTATTCTTATTTAGTTTTCTTATTCTATTGTTTTATGGACAACTTTTATCAATACCTGCACTGTTTCAAAAATTAAATAGGATAAGCAGAACCTGAGCATTTAGGACCGCACCGGGCACACAGCCAGCACTAAATAAATGCTAAGATTAAAAAAAAAGTCAAGGGCAAAGTATAAACGTAAACTGAGTTAAAACTTACTGTAAGAGCAAGGATTCTGCTATTAGACCCTGGTCTGAACTTTAGTGCTTCTCTTTATTCACAGTTTTATGGAGTATTAAGTGAATTGACTCATTGTGCTTGTCAATGATCTCTCAGTTCCATGCACACCCTTTATACTTTGATCTGTAATACTGTTGGCTTAGATTCTGAAAGTGAGATTTTCTAGATTCCCTTGATAGCTGATTTCCAGTTAGAGTCCGCAATTGGGAGGCACAACTGGGAGATTGGGAGGCAGGAGGAGAAAGGAAGGGTCTCCTTTCCTCTTTTCACCCTCCTTAGGACAGCTACAACTCTAACCAGAGTCATGCCACTTCCTAGAGGCTCTGTCACCAGCCACACAGTGCCCTTTGGCAGCCTTAGTACCAGGTGCATGATGGTCCTACAGCAGCCCAACAACCAAGATGGTGGCCCTTCCTGTACATTTCTAGGTTATACCTCTTTCCTTTTGTTTCCCCCAGCCCTAAATTGCTCCCTGTATTTACCAACCTCACTGCTTTCTTTTGGATATTCCAATACGTGTGAAATCCATTCACTATATTAAATACTCCCTGGTTAAAATACCTATCATAATTTCTTCCTAATGGTATTTTGATTGATATAGCATGCAATATGCTTAATGCCTTTCATCTTCTCAACAAATGTTAGTTCTCCCCTAGGTGATTCCATCTTCTGTGTTAAAAGAAAATGCATAATAGTAGTGAAGAGATATTAATTGTATTTTTAAAATTATCATTTCTTTTCAGAGTTCTTGAGCTTTCTCCAAGAGCTCCCAATATTCCACAAAGACCAGTAGTTCTCGGCCCTAAGTATGAATTAGAGTCAACTGCGGAATCTTTAAAAATGCAGATGCTCAGGCCCACCTCGTACCTGAATTTCAAGGAATAGTTGTGTGCATTCTGAAGAAGTTCTCCAGGTAATTATTTGTGCTGAAGTTTGAGGACCTCAGGTTTAGATACTCAGTATATAGTATATTAATGATTCCATAATGCCTCATAATTGATAAAATTTTACCTGCTTATTGGTATCTCAATAAACGTTGTTTGATTATGGCCTTGACACTTTATCCCAATAACCAGTTGAGTAGTCCTTTGGTTCAGTGGCATCAAGTTAAAACCAACCTTGAGCTGGTTTACTGCCATGATACTAGATATTTCTTGGCTCCATTTCAGGTGTGAGGGTTAGTGCAAACTACCATGGATGGTAAGTGACAGAATCAGGGCTTATCCCTGGTTGAAATCGGGGAAAGCACCAAGGAAAATTAACTTTCCAACACTCTAGGCTTATACTACTGGGATATAACTGAAGCCCAGGATGGGGGAGCCTAAAAGAGAACTAAAGAGAATGGTTATTATGAAATCTGGTCCTTTGCAATTATTGTTGTTCCAGGTTAGATGTAGTCTCACTAATGGGCTTCCAAATTCCATCTCAATGGAGAAATCCACAGCAACCAGCAAAGTGTAAGGAGAGAAGGCAGAGCCAGGGAGAAGTTAGTGTAATAAGCTGGTGACTGGAAATAACATGACTTTATTTATATTTTGACAAATAAATCAGAGCTTACATTTCCAAATAGTAAAGTTTTTTTTCCCCCCCAACCATGATACCATGGTTCACTATATCTTAAAATTATCCCTAGAGGCTGCTGCAGGTTTTTATAAAAAATTCTCTCTGGCCTCAAATCTTCCTCCATGAGTGGATTTGATGATTTGGAAACAACTGAAGTCATTTGGAAGTAAATCTGGTGACGAAGGTATGTGAACAAGATGGGAAACGCTATTTGGTCAGACTTGGCTGTAACCAAAAGAAACCAGGACTTGGGGGGTGGGGGGCGGTTGGGGAATGTAAGCTAATCATGAGTAGAGTTTTCAAAGAGAATTGCAAGCACTTTAGATAGTGTTTGGAAGAAGTAACAGTCTTCCAAAGATGACTATTTTATTTTTTTTCTGGTTTATTTTTGAGAGACAGAGACAGAGACAGAACATGAGCAGGGGAGGGGCAAAGAGAGAGGGAGACACAGAACCCAAAGCAGGCTCCTGGCTCTGAGCTGTCAGCACAGAGCCCGACACGGGGCTCAAACCCATGAACTGCGAGATCGTGATCTGAGCTGAAGTTGGACCACAACCAATTTAGCTACCCAGGCACCTCATAAAGATGACTATTTTTTTTATTATTTTTTAAATGTTTTATTTATTCCTTGGAGAGAGAGAGAGAGAGACAGCGTGAGCAGGGGAGAGTCAGAGAGAGAGGGAGTCACAGACTGAAACAGGCTCCAGGCTCTGAGCTGGCAGCACATAGCCCGACGCGAGGCTCGAACCCACGAACCACGAGATCATGACCTAAGCGAAAGTCGGACGCTTCGCCGACTAAGCCACCCAGGCACCCCTAAAGATGACTGTTTTAAAGGATGGCTCTCATCATGAGTAAGTTGATCTTGTGTGTGTGTGTGTGTGTGTGTGTGTGTGTGTGTGTGTGTGTGTGTTTAATCAACCTAACTTGATAATATATTTATAGAAGTTGTTCTCAATTCTGTCTCTACATATGAAGATCCCCAGCTGTCCAGGGAATTCTTCCCTATCTCCCATGACCTAAGACAATGAGTTTGTCTCAAAAAGACATGGATTCTGGAAAAAGATTACTGTGCAAATCTGGCCTAAACTACTTCCTTTCTCTGAAATCTTAAGCAAGTTGCTTGATCTCACTGCACTTTAGTTTTCTTATGTATATAATGAACAGAATAATACCCCAATGGAGTAATTGGGAGGATTAAGGGAACTAATATATGCAAGTGCCTAGCAGTGTGCCTTGGTCCAGATCAGATATTCAATAAATGGTTACTATTATTAATGCAAATGTTATTTTTTTCCAGTTTTAATTTTAATTCAGTTATTTAAATACAGTGTTATATTAGTGTCATGTATACAATATAGTGATTCAAAAAATTCAATATATCCCTCAGTGCTCATCATGACAAGTGCACTCCTTAATCCCCATCACTTATTTCACCCATCCCCCACCCACTTCCCCTCTGGTAACCATCACTTTGTTCTCTACAGTTAAAAGTCTGTTTCTTGGTTTCTCTCTCTCTCTCTCTCTCTCCTTTCACACATTAGGTTTGTTTCTTAAATTCTACGTATGAGTGAAATCATATGGCATGTCTTTCTCTGACTTACTTATTTCACTTAGCATTATACTCTCTAGCTCCATCCATATTGTTGCAAATGGCAAGATTTCACTCTTTTTTGTGGTTGAATAATATCATTATATGTATTATATAAAACTTCCTCTTTGTCTATTCATCAATCAGTGGATACTTGGGCTGCTTCCATATCTTGGCTATTATAAATAATGCTGCTATAAACATAGGGGGTGTATGTATCCCTTTGAATTAGTGTTTTCATATTCTTTGGGTAAATAACCAGTAGTGCACTTGCTGAGTTGTAGGATAGTTCTATTTTTAACTTTTTGAGGAAGATCCATAATATTTTCCACAGTGGTAGCAGCAGTTTGCATTCCCACAAACCCTGCAAGAGGGTTCCCCTTTCTCCACATCCCTACCAACACCCATTTTTTCTTGTATCATTGATTTTAGTCATTCTGATACGTGTGAGGTGATATCTCATTGTAGTTTTTATTTGCATATTTCTAATGGTAAGTGATGATGAGCATCTTTTCATGTGTCTGTTGGCCATCTGTATGTCTTCTTTGGAGAAATGTCTGTTCGTGTCTTTCGCCAATTTTTAAATTGGATTATTTGTTTTTTTGGGGGGGGTATATGAACATAATTATTATCACCAATGTATAGCTGTGGTATCAAGACTCTCCTCAATCATTTCTCCAATGTAGAGAGACTGATAATGTCTATTTATATGAACCAGACAGCCAAGCCTGGAGAAGCCCATGATGAGTTCTATGCAGAGAAGGGAGGAGTCAATGATAGCATAATGGAATATTTTCCTCTTCCTTTGGTCCACTTATGGGATCCTGTAAAATGGGAAAATTGTGTCATCTCAATGTACATTAGTGTTAGAATGTTAATACAAAGATATTTAACCAATATTATTGGAATGCAGTCTTTTGCATACTCCAGATAGCTGAAGTTTTCCCCATTGAGAAACAACACTTTTCCCAAAATATTAATCATCTGGCAGAAAAGCATTCAAAAACATACCATTCATCCCTCTACTTTTTAAAGCAAAAGGACATGATTTAACTTTTTTGTTATAAGCCACGGCGATCATTATGAACATCTATGGCAGTGTGGAGACGTGGCTCAGGGCTGGGCCTACTCTTTGTTTTTTCGGACTTCCCCTTCCTTGATGTCAGGCATTCTCTGGACATGACAGGCTTGAGATGCAACACGTCCATCAACTTTGGAAACAGGCAGATACTCAGAAACCATCAGTGTTCAGGACAGTGACCACATACTACTTAGGGACATAGATTCGTTAACAGGCAGACCTGAAATGAGACCCTACTTCAGCCGTGTAATCTTGAGCAAATCACTGAACTGAACCTCAGTTTCTTCATCTGTTCAATGAGGATAAAAATAGTACCTAGCTCATAGGGGAGTCGTGAGTCTCCAGTGGGAAAATAGACATAAAGTGCTTAGTATAGCACTGGACAGATATCAAAAGCTCAATAAACATTCCCTACTACCATTATTATTACTACTAGCAAGTGAGGCCTCCAAGACACTCTGACTTCCCTGCTGCGACACTCATAAACACCCAGTCTTTGTGTTTTTCCTTCCATCTGTTAAATAAGACTGATAAAAGGAGTCGTCTGAACAGCCAGTGACTAAAGCCCTCTTGAATTTTTCCCCCACAATCTGGTCAAATTCCCAGATAAGAGGTTTCAGCCAAAGGAGAACTTCCAATAATTCTGTCAAAAGGCAATCATTCTCATAAGGGCCAAGTTTCCTGCACAGCCTGAATAGCCACCCGAACTGGCTGTGTCTGCACCCCTGAGCTGTGCAGGCAGACACACAAGAGCAGGAGTGCACTCTGTGGATCAAACACCAAGTCACCGGGCCGTGGCTGGTGATCCTTGGTGGCAGAAGGTGGGAGGAGAGGCAGGAAGCCCCCAGAGCCTCCCATCTGGCACTATTCATGGCACTAAGAGAAATGTCATCCACAGCGCTGGCAACTGCCTATCTGGTGAGGATTCGGGACACTGCAGCTCTCCAAGCAGTTATTTTCTATCTTCTGTATCCCACAGGGGTTAATTCACATCCTCAGTGGTGTACTATTCTAGCTCTTCCACCACTGGGGAATATAATTTAAGGTCGCTCTGGAGTTACAGGAAGGCAACAACAACAGCTTCAGGCTTTGTGCAGTACAGATCAGGAGCTGTTAGGCTGGTCTCGGTCTGCGCCTCCCAACATTCCAGCCCCGTGAGGAAACCAGCAACCAGCACTGGAATCAGCAAAGTGTTTTCACCAAGCACATGCCCCTGGGTTAGGGCTGCAGTCTCTACACTAACTTCCTGGCAAACAGTCGCTTCTCCCAGGGACTCCTGCCTTGAAATGATATTCCCAGGATAAGAGCCAGATTGGAGACCACCTGATAATGTTTTCTACTTTATACCCCCAAGCCTCTTCTCTCTCCATCAACTCGCCACAATCTCCTTACATATCAGCAGTTGGACCTCACTTTATACAGCATTGCTTTCTCATAAAGTTGGGAATATCTATAAAGCAAGTCATATTTTAAATGCAAGAGCTGACCTTGAAATTGTGTTAGTTTTCTACTGCTGCATAATAAATTATCCCCTCAACATTTGTGATAACACCATAATAAATATTTGTTATCCTCACAATATCTGTGGGTCAGGAATTCAGGGCTGCCTTAGCTGGGCGGTCCTGACTTGGGGTCTCTCCTGAGATTAGAGTCATGATGTTGACTAGGGCCGCTGTCTCCTGGAGAGCCTGCTTCAAACAAAGATGGCTGCCTCACACAGCCAGCAGGTTGGTACAGTCATTGGTGGCCTCATTGTCTTCCCACATAGGCCTCTCAGGCAATTTGAATGTCTTCACAATGCCCCCTAACTTCCCCTAGAGTGAGTAACCCAAGAGAGAGAGCCAGGTGAAAGCTGTCCTTTCTATGGCTGTCTTAGAAGTCACATCTTCTTTTTTGGAAGGGAGTCAGTCACTCAGCTCGGGAGGGAGTTCACTTGACTTTTGAAGTGAGCCATGTCACAGTATTAATGAGCACATTTTAAAGCCACCAGAAACATTTAGGAGTGAATCATTTGCTCATTTAACAAATATTTATTGAGTATCTACTATGTGCCCACACTGTTCTAGAAAGTTGGGATACATCCTGGACAAAACAGAGCAAAGTGTCTGCCTGACCTTGTCAGATTAAATTCCAATGGAGAGACATAAAGTAAACAACAAGCATAATAAGTACATTTTGTGCAGTGTGCTGTGGATTTGAGTACTCTGGCAAAAAAGGGATCTAGGGAAGAGGGCTCCAGAATCCTAGAGTCAGGTTACAATTCTTTTTAACTTTATTTATTTTGAGAGAGAGAGAGAGAAGGAGGGGCAGAAAGAGGAAAAGTGAGAGAATCACAAGGAGGCTCCACACTGTCAGCACAGAGCCTGATGTGGGACTTGAACTCACGAACCACGAGATCATGACCTGAGCTGAAATCAAGAGTCAGACACTCAATCAACTGAGCCACCCAGGCACCCCAAGTCAGGTTACATTTTAAATAGAGTCATCAGACTCATTCTCACTGAGAAGACAGAGTGAGGAAGACAATGATTTGGAGACCATGGGTAATGGGACCATGTTGTACATGGCCTCATCGTCCACCATATGACCATAGAACCCATGTGAATCCTGGTGGTTGTCACCCTGCTCCCTCACAGGTACATGGACGGAGAGAGAAGTTTCACTGAAGCCCATGAGAACTACCAGCATTCCCTTCCCCTAGAGTACATAGGAAAGGGTGTTCTTGTGGCCATCGCCAGCTGCAGGTGACCTTTGTGTCCATTCAGAGGGAGCTTCTGTGCCACCTCGAGATAAACTGCAGGCACCATCTGCATATAACACTGTGCATCCAGGGGGGGAAGACAAGTGAGTCATTCATTCAGCCCTTTAGAGATCGCTTTCAGAGGAGCAGCGCTTTTGCAGTGCTGAATGTGTACTTTTAGTGCTGAACTTGATAATGGTGTTTCTGCAACTGAAGGCAAGCTCCAGACCACACCCAATAGAAGCCACCCAGCCCAGGGAATGGCAGAATTCTGAAGTTTTCTGAATCATGAGGGAGGAAACGGGAAGACGACATTCCAGGCTTGCATGTGGCCAAAAGGGGGTCAGCACACTACTGGCCACGTAGAGTCTTGCAGGAGCCCCTTGCCAACAGAGTGCCTTGGGCTGGAGGAGCCAGGGATGAAGTAGTGCAGGGCCGGGTGCCAGAGGATTCAATGGGAGCACCCGGTTCTAATTCAGCCATCCAGGCCGGCAAGACGAGGCTCAGGGCAGGTGGAAGGCAGGGAGTATTTGCACAGAGATGTGTGAGCCCTATTCAAGGGCAGTTATGACTTTGAGACGGTGGGGACTAACACACTGAGATGTAGGCAGCCCCTCAGTCTCCCATGCAACAAACCCCATGGAGAGGGACCCTATCCCGAGGGAAGACCGAGGTGCACAAGAAGGCATTGGGTCAGGGTTTGAGGGAGACCTGTACATGTAGCAAGAGGTGGTTCTCTGACAGGGTCGTCAGTCTAGCCCAGATGACCTTGCCCAAAGATGGCTGTGAGGAAAGAATGAAAGAGAAAGCTGAGCCCCTGGAAGTACCATAGGCACTCAGTGCTTACCACGTCAGTAGGCAACAAGCATGAGAACATGAAGGAGCTCCCTGAGTGTCAGAACAATCATCTATGGCCACGTCTAAAGTCCATGGAGGCTGACAGGGTCCTAGGGTGCAGATGTTGAGTTATACATTTGTTCTTTCTTAGAGGGTGATCGTTGAATGGTTAAAAGGCAGAGACTGGGTGGGGGTAGACACAGCCAGGTTTGTATCTTGGTGATGCCATTTACTGTGTCAGAGAAGTCTTTTTGTTTCTCGATAGCCCCAGTTTCCTCACCTGTCAACCTCACACAGCTACTGAGAGATAAATGAGAAAATATGTCACATGATTCCCAGCGTATAGAAGTGTCCACAAATAGCTGCTATTTTTATTGTTACTATTTTTTATGAATGTTGTGGACAGCCACTGTGGGGGCTTTGTTTGGTTTTGTTGCCCAGCACCTCTTCCTTTGGAGATATTGACCTATCCCACCCCCATGCACTTGGTGGTGGTGTGCAGCTAATCCTAGGATTCAGACAGGGATGGGCAAGTGACCAATCAAATTCTCTCTCCCAGGGATTGGAACCCTAAGTGCCTTCAGGCAGGAAGGCAGTTAGAGCTGAGTCATCCTGTGACAGGGAATTTCCTGGAGTGGCTCCTGCTATCATCCCTCCCTGGGTCTGTAATCCAACTTGTGCTTCCAGTGCCTGAGCTTGGCCAGTCTCCCTGTACTGACCCCCCCTCTTACAGCCGAGTATCCCTTCTGACAAAGCAGCCACAGGGTGGGTGGGACATCTCTACGTAGATGGCTATTGGAATGGCTGTGTGGAGACACAGAGACTGGGAAAGAGGATGTGACCTTCCCACTTCCTCCCTTCCCTTTTCAGTTCAGGCCATCTCTGTCCCCTGCCCTCTCTTGTTTTGATTTACTTTTTTAAAAAAAAATTTTATGTTTTATTTTTTTCTGAGAGAGAGAGAGAGACAGCATGAACAGGGGAGGGTCAGAGAGAGAGGGAGATACAGAATCTGAAACAGGCTCCAGGCTCTGAGCTGGCTGTCAGCACAGAGCCCGATATGGGGCTCAAACCCATGAACCGTGAGAGCATGACCTGAGCCAAAGTCGGACACTTAACCGACTAAGCCACCCAGGTGCCTCTACTTTTTTTTTTTTTTTTTTTAAATCAGGATAATATATGTACTTAAATGTGATCAGATAGTGAATAGAGTTGGGTAGCCATCTGGAAAAGATGAAGCTGGGTCACTATATGAGAATAAATTCTAAATGGATTCAAGATCTAAATGTAGAAAATTAAAAAGAAAACAAAAACTTAAAGCCACTAGGAGAAAACATAGATGAATTACTTTTTAATCTTGGTGTGAGAGGATCCTGCTAATTATGACTCAACATCCAGAATCTATCAAAGAAAATATTTTAATTTTTTTAATGTTTATTTTTGAGGAAGAGAGTGCGAGCAAGGGAAGGACAGAGAGGGGAACAGAAGATCTGAAGTGGGCTCCACACTGACAGCAGCAAGCCCAATGCGGGGCTCAAACCCATTAAACATGAGATCATGACCTGAGCGCAAGTCAGACACTCAACTAACTGAGCCACCTAGACACCCCTATCAAAGAAAATATTTCTAAATATTACTACATATTAGTCAAAACCTTAGCAGAAAATAATAGCAAAGACAATTAACAAACTGAAAAATAAAATTGCAACAAAAAGGATTAAATTCCCTCACATGTAAAGAACTCCTACAAATCAAGAAGAAAAAGATACAAAAAAAATTATTATTTGGACAAAAGACATAATTAGAGTATTCAGGAAAAAAAGATTTATACATGGCCCTTGAACATTGAAAAGATTCTTAACCTTACTCATAATCAGAGCAGGTTAACACCCATCAGACTGAAAAAAACTCAAAATTTGACAACATATTCTTCTGACGAGACTGTGGGAAAATAACCACTTTCACACAATCCTGGTGGGAGAATAAGATGCCACAAAGCCTATGGAGAGCAATTAGGCATTATCTATCAATAGCACAAATGGAATTGTCCTCTGACCTCTGCAAAGTCATCCCACAGCTTATCTGCACACAAGTGAAATAACATATGTATACAGTTATTCATTTCAGCATTGTTGGTATTAGCAGAACATTGGAAACACCCCCAATGACTAGTGTTTTAAAAAGCCAAAAGTTTGCTTTAAAAAAATCCATCCAGAGTGTCTGAGTAGTTCAGTTGGTTAAGTATCCAACTTTGGCTCAGGTCATGATCTCACAGTTTGTGGGTTTGAGCCCCAAGTTGCGCTGTGTGCTGACAGCTCAGAGACCTGGAGCCTGCTTCAGATTCTGTATCTCCCTCTCTCTCTGACCCTCCCCCTCTCATGCTCTCAAAATAAAGGTTAAAAAAATTTTTTTTAATTCATTCCATGTTCTACTCTACCCTCACCCCCAATTCTCTATTACCAGAAGCTTTAAAATATGTTAATTGATTTTTCGGATATTCATCTATAAATTTCTCTTTTAAAATGCTTATATTATTGGGGCGCCTGGCTGGCTCAGTCAGCTGGGCTTCCGACTCTTCATTTCAGCTCAGATCATGATTTCACGGTCGTGAGATCAAGTCCCACATTGAAATCTGTACTGAACATGGGGCCTGCTTGAGATTCCCTATCTCCTGCTCCCTCTGCCCCTCCCCCAATTGTATTTATGCATGCATATGCACTCTCTCTCTCTCTCTCCCCCCCTCCTCAAAAATAAATGATGTTTACAATGCTCATATTACTTCTCACTTTTCAATTTAAGCATGAACTACTGATTTTCTACTATAGAAGAGAAGTACTTGGCTCTATTATATATCCTCTACTCCTAATGCACACACAGAACTATTCACCATTCACCTTCATTTTTCCAAATGGTTACATTACAATTTTTTGTTAAATTCATATTTAATATTTGAGTATTATGACATGCAAATATTGCTTATGATTGAAACATAGGTACAGATTCATTAACATTCCTTTCTTAAACATTTTAAATTTTACCCTGGCGTTAATAATTGCCTTGCTTTTCACTTGACCACCTCATTTTTATTTGACCATTTTTTAGTGTATTTGTCAACAATTCATCCCCCAAATATTCCATGCATCATATATGAGATCCTCTATCAATTCCATTTTTTGCCTAGAATGTTTCCATTCATTCTTTTGTTCTATGCACTTGTTTCCCTCTAGTCTTGCTGAATAGCAGCCATCTTCAAACCTGTCTTTACTATCATCCTGAGAATTTCCTTTGCTCACTCTATCTCATGTGTTGGATCCATTCATCCATGTGGTCTGGATCCCAAGTCTCCTAGATTGGCTCACTCATTTCAGTGAAGTACATTCTCTAGTAAATCCTCAAGAAAGAATAAATGGAAAAAAATTGAGATCCCACATGTCTGAAAATGTTTTCATTATAGTTTCACATTTAGCATTAGTTTGGCTTTATAGATCGGTTCAGAAATACTTTTTCCAAATGTTCCATTTCCTTCCAGCATCCAGCGTTACTGTTGAGAAATCTGATGCTATCCTGTTTCTAGTCCTTTGTTGTGGTTTATTTCTTCTCTCAGGAAACCTCTCTGGAATCTTCTCTTAATACCCAGTGTCCTGAAATTTCATGATGATGTTCCTTGATGTGAGGTTTTCTTTTACAATCATTATTTATTGTGTTTGGGCCCCCTCATAGGATTTCTTGTATTATTTCTTCGGACATTTTCTTTCCTCAGTTTTCTCTGTTCTCTCTCTGACTATACTCTCAGTTGAATGTGAAACTCTTGAATCAATACTCTGTTTCATATTGTTTCTCTCCTACTTTCCAAATATGTATTTTCTATTTCCTTTCTATGAGATTTCATCAATTTCATCTACTATTCTTTCTACTGAATGTTACTCTATCATGTTATCCCATGGCCATCATTGCACTGTTAATTTGAGTGCCCTTTCTCATTCTCTGATTTTTATAGGATCCTGTTCTTGTTTCATAAATTGATGGTGCTTTTGATTATCTCTGCCCCGTGACGTTTTTCCTGCTTCCTTCAGGTTCCTTTCTTTTCATTTGGTTTCTGTCTTTCATTCAATCTATCTTCCATGTTAAATGTAAGTCTCTAGTCATTCTCAAGTGTTAGAGTCTTCCAACTCCTAAATCCAGTCTCCCTTTTCAGGCTGTTTTTCAGACTGTTGATTTTAAAATAACTACATATGCAATATATAAATATATTCTCATTATCAAAAATTCAAACAGTATAAAAGTATCCTGAGAAAAAATGTATAAGTCCCCATACACTCTCACTCCTGTTCCCAAAGATATTCACCAACAATAGTTTGGTATGCCAAGATATTTTCTACCATAGAGTCTAGATATGGTGTGTGGGGGTGTCTTAATTTTGTCTTGGGGCTACAAGTTATTTAATTTTTGAATTGGCTACCTGACATTTGAACATTAGGAGATCATATAAAACTTCAGATTCCTAAACTCTCTCTAAAAAATTGGGAATTCTGCAACACTGGACCCACACAGTCATATTAGGAAGGGCCATCTTTTCTACAGTTCTGCTAGTCCCCATTTGACCTGTGCCCACTCATATTACTTGTCTGGCTCCTTTAAGCATCGGAGTTAGTAGTGCCTAGGTTAAGTGATGCCTAGGTTGTTGGTGTGCACTCTGGAAGTAGTAACCCATCCATCAGGTAACAGAATAGTCCACCAGATGATAGGAAGATCTGTCACATAGGAAAACATAGAGAGGAAAGGCCTCCTCTTAGAATGGCCTGGAAAAGAGTGGGCTGGAGTGGACTGGTCACCAGGTCAGTGTTACTGTTGGACATAAAAGGTAGGATGGCTCATTAACTGCTAATCCCTGAGTATTTCTTCTACTTACCTTCCCCAATACAGATTCCATGGCTGCAAAATACACTTTCTGATTCCTAGGTAGAAGAATATGTACAAACTGGAGGGCAGATGAAGCAGGAAACATCAGACATGTTGATCTCCCAAGAGAAGAGGACACTCAGTATGAGCTGTCTGTCACCATGACCATTACATCATGAATGGCTGCCACTTACCCTCACATAGTTGGTTACCAAGGCAGACTCCTCACACTTTCTCCAGTCAAGGGGAGGACCCACTGTGCCATTTTTCCCTAAGCAACATCCCTGTGCATCAAATGTGAGGAGGCTTTTGGTACACGTAGCTCTGATTTCTCTACACAATCCTATCTATTTAACCTGGTATGTAGCCTCACACCCAGTCATCCAAGGCAAATCACGATTTAATCCAAGATGAATCGTAAAGAATACAGACTTTATGAACCGTTTTTTTTTTTATTATTAAAAAGAGTTAAAGAGAATCTATTAAACTCATTTCTATGGGTGGATACTTAGCTATAAGTATACAGGAGCCAATGGTTTGTGTGAACGGAGGTTGAGAGCATTGACTTGGGAAGCGGCCTGGCCTGAGACTGTGCTGCTGCTCTCCCGGCTGGATCCCTGGCTGGGAAGGACCCAGCCTGTGGGTTTACATTTTGGGCAATATCAATAAAGCGAGTGGACTAAGATCTGGAAATGAGGCGAGTCTTGGGACATAGTACATGGCCCGCGTTGGCTACACCTGCAGCACACGGAGATTGGACCCAAAAGAGTGATCTGCAATGTTTGGTTAGAGAAGGGACTGGGGCACCACCATTTTTTCCCCCACAACCACCAAGGTGGGACCTCAGGGAGCAGCCAGTGGGACTCAGTGGAGGCTAAGACCTGCCTATACCAAAGCACGTCTATCCCTGCTAGAGACCTGGGTTTTTTTTTTTTTTACCAGAACCTCAGGGCAAGACCAACATGGATGCACTGCCATGATTAATTCTAGATCAATTCTTTCTATTCAGATATATTTTCCCTTGTCCCATTCGTATCCCTTCCCTCTGCTGGACTGGGCATTCTGGTCACTGGTTTGCTTAAACAGTCACATTTAATCCATTCTCTAGATGTATATTCTACACCTCCACTGCTACCTTTCTCTCTCTCTCTCTCTCTCTGGAGTAATCAGACTATATAGTTTCTCTGAGTAACATTACCCTCATTTCTTTCTCCTCACCTCTTACCATATTCTCCTCTTTCTCTCTCTGAATTAAGCCTTTTAGTCTCTCTGCCTGGTCATTTCTCTTCCAATTTTGCTTCTTCCCCACCCTGTCATTTCTCTCTTTGTATATGCTCTTCCATCAGCACTGCATACAACCGGCTCTTTATTTGTAGCTGGGAATTCTGGTTTTATGCTTTTAGACTGTCCTTTGTCTTTTGGGTTCTTTTCTTTTTTCTTTTCTTTTCTTTTTTTCTCTTTTTTTTTTTTCCTTCTTTTTTCTTTTTATTTTTCCCTTTCGGTTTGCTTGTTTGTTGGATTTGTCTATGTATTTGTGTGGCTTTGTTCCCTGTGTGTTTGTCTGTCTGTTTTCTTTTCCAGGGCTACCTCAAGAAACAAGCCAAAGTACATATGGTGGAGAGTCTGAAATACCACTACGAGTAGGGAAATAAAATAACCAAAGTCTCAACAAGAGAGACCAAGAGACACCGTTAAGAGAACACTTCCTGAACAAACAGGCCCTGGGCAGTCAATGAGCCTTCTTTAATACAGCAGTACTCGCAGATGCAGAGTGCATAACAAGCTTTTCAAACTAACAAGAGACAGAAAGCTAGCCAAAAATGACAAAACAGAGAACTCTCCTCTAAAGAAATTCCAGGAAGAAATGACATCTAAAAAACAGATATAAGCAACATAACTGAACAAGAGTTTAAAACAATAGTCATAAAATTAATCGCTGGGCTTGAAAAAGGCATGGAAGACATAAGAGAAACTATTGCTACAAAGACTATGGAGCTTAAAAATAGTTGTGATGAATTTAAAAATGCTATGAATGAGGCACATACTAAAATTGAGGCATCCAATGCACAGATTGAAGAGGCAGAGAGAAAAGGTGAATTAGAAGACACAATTATAGAAAAAGAGGAAGCTGAGAAAAAGAGACATAAACTGATCCAGGAACACAAAAGGAGAGTTTGAGAACTGAGTGATAAAATCAAATGGAACAATATCCATATCATAGGAATTCCAGAAGAGGAAGAGAGAGGGAAAGGCACTGAAGGAGTCCTTGAACAAATTATAGCTGTGAACTTCCCCAATCTGGGGAAGGAAACAGACATTGAAATCCAAGAGGCACAGAGAACTCCCCTCAGATGTAACTTGAATTGAACTTCTGCACAACATATCATAGTGAGACTGGCAAAATATAAGGACAAAGAGAGAATTCTGAAAGCAGCTAGGGATAAAAGGGCCCTAACGTATAAAGGGAGACCTATCAGAGTAGTTTCAGACCTATCTACTGAAACTCAGCAGGCCAGAAAGGAATGGCAGGAAATCTTCAATGTGACGAACAGAAAAAGTATGCAGCCAAGAATCCTCTATCCAGCAAGCCTGTCATTCAGAATAGAAGGAGAGATAAAAGTCTTCCCAAGTAAACAAAAATTGAAAGAATTCGTCACCACTAAACCAGCCCTACAAGAAACCCTGGGGAGAACTCTACGAGGGAAATGTTGCAAGGAACTCAAGGTACCAGAGACACCACCACAAGCATGAATCCTACAAAGAACACAATGACTCTAAACCCATTATTTTTCAATAATAGCACTGAATGTAAATGGACTAAATGCTCCAATCAAAAGACATAGGGTAGAAGAATGGATAAAAAAACAAGATCCATCTATTTTCTGTCTACAAGAGACTCATTTTAGATCTGAGGACACCTTCAGATTAAAAGTAAGAGGATTGAAGAAATATCTATCATGCTACTGGAAGTCAAAAGCTATAAGAATACATGATGTATTTGTCAGCAGAAGAAAACATCTCTGGCCCAATTTAATTCACTGCTGTACAGATAAATTTTAGTGTTCCTTCTTTAAATATCACAGGTGCATGGGGTGTTTTGGGGGAAATAGATTGGCCAGAACTCATCATTTGTCTACAGAACACAGAGCAAAGGGCCTTGACTTCTGCCAGTCTCCAGTCTAGTAAAGGTCTCATGGGACATTTTTCACAGAAGGGCACTATGACCCCTGTTTTTGTCACTGTCATCTCCTTGCCCCACCTCCAACCTTTTTTCCTCTTTTCCACCAGCCTCACTCCCAAGGGTCCTCTAAGCATTCCCCAGTAAGCCCTTGCTCTGAAACCTGTACAGAGATCATAGAAACATTATTATACCCGCAGTTAATGTTTATTTTCTTGCTTCCAATGAGATCCAGCCTTTCCTCCACTAAATTGTTTCACTGTACTGTACTTGAGAAATGACAGGGTCATCTTTGGTCAAATTTTCACCCCAAGCAGAAATAAGGGGGCATCTAATGGGGAATACAGATGTAATGATCCAGGCTCCCTCCATAGACACTATCTTAGGACACAGACAGGGAGAAAAGACAGAGGGGAGTAAGGAGGCAAATTCTATGATATTTCTCTTTCTACTTTCCCAAATTAAATGTATTCCTGTCTTTGCTTTCATCTAACACTACCACCATAATTTCTCTTGGATGCTTCCCATTATCGCATAGGAAAACAAAATTCTGCACCACGATTAAATCTAAATACCAAAATCATTTAAGATACCCTACTCCTGGGACACACAGCAAAATGTAATAAGTTTCTCAAAATGTGACCTAATTATAACCATCCTTTTAAGTTTTATTTCCCACTGGGACCTAATGTCTGCAGTTAAAAATAATTTTTGAAACAGGTCCATGTTGCCACAAAACTTTTCAGAGTCACTTAAATGTTATCCATGTACCCAATTTATTTTTCTCCTCTGTTCCTGTGTGATAAAAGCCAGACGTCCAGGAGAGACAGGAGGCCAAGCCGGGAGAGAACATGCTGGGCCAGAATTTTCACAGTGGAAGCCTTCCCATGTGACTGAATGGGGCGTCAGGTTACCACTGTTTCACTGACACCCCGTGTGCACCAATGGCCCCGTATCATGGGGCCTTGAATGCCAATCAATAGTCAGCCTTTCTCTTCCCATGCCCCCATGAATACCACACTCCTATGCTTCGAGCGTCATTCTCATTTGCTGCCCCAATGGTCTTTGAGATGCCTAAGCCTTGATTCCCCTCCATCCCCATGGTCCAAAATGTTCACTCCCACCTTCCTATGTGCATTCAGTAAATCTCCATTTAGAGGCAATCCTGTTCTTCCAGAACAGCACAAACCCACCCTCTGGCTGGCCAGAATCCCACCGCTTTATTTGCACTGACTCTGATAGACCTGGCTTCTAACCGTGGGGTTTTCTAAGGACACTTTCAGAAGCTGCTGCTTTTTCAGTGTCTCCATTTCACTCTCTCTTGAAAGGAACAAAAGACAATTGAAAAATGTCTGATCTGAGGCCACACAGGTTCAACACACATGTTCTGAAGTCAGACAGACCTGGGCTTGGATTTTAGCTCCTCTGCCCATGCGCCGCCACACATGTGCTTGACTCCCCACATCTCAGCTTCCTCATCTGTGAAGCGAGGATGATAAAAGAAAGACTGTATAAGGTTCTTGTGAGGAATAAAAGGAATATAGAGTGTGAAGCAGCTATCACAGAGCCTAGAGTGTGGCCGACGCTCAGCAGATATGAGCTATTATTATTAGAGCATTTGAAAAAAATCACTTCTTCCAGCTAAGATAATGCCATTAGTACAGATGCTATTTCTGCTTGTCAGAGGTTGCCAGAAAGAGTCAAGCCAAAGATGGCGAGAAACTAAATTACCTTAGTCTCTGGATGCTCTCCTGTTCTGATTCCAGCTCACTGGAGAGGCAAACAGCTAAGCAGAGGATGCCATGGTGAGAACCCACAAGCAGAGACATGCCATTTCCAGGAGATTTCCCAACCTGGGAAAGAATAGCTGAGCTTTAATACGACGTGATACATTTTAATTTTTTTAATGTTTCTTTATTTTTGAGAGATAGAGACAGAGTGTGAGCAAGGTGGGCATGGGGAGGGGCAGAGAGAGAGGGAGAACATGAAGCAGGCTCCAGGCTCTGAGCT